TTTTCAGAGGTTTTATCAGTTTAACTTCAAGTACAGACAGAACAGTGGAGATAAAAAGGTTTTTATTTCTCTGCTCGTGTGGATAAGAAATAAAACAATTACAATTAGGCTTCACTTTCAGACATTTCTTTATAGTTAAAACATCCTCACAGAAGGAAAACTGAATTTAGGAGCACTCTCAGAAATAAAATATTACACTTTAAGTCACCAGACAAAGCAAATCCTTCCAGCTGAAGGGAAACTAAGCAACAGTCACTTCTCCTCCTTGCCTTTGGTTTTTCTGTACACCATTTCTCTGAAACTCGACAGGATCTTGCTCTCGCGTTTCCTCCTCTCCTCCTGGTTGAAGGAGGCCAGAGCTCGCTTTTCATCCGCGCTGTAGATCTGGTTCTCCTTCCTCAGACGCACGGCCTCCATACGACGATGTCTGCAGGAGGAAAAAGAGATTAAATGTCAGGGTTACAGAAGGTACAAACATGGAAAAAAGCAAAAGAACAATTATATGGGCAAACATGGCCGGCCCAAGGCATATATGAATTAAGCGGCTGATTAGGGCCCCCAAGAACACAACTCTAGCATGACTATAAATAAATGTGTATGTAGCAGGAGATGAACACAAATATATGCCACACTTCACATTTTTGTATATCACATAAAATTCTAATGAAAAATATTTAATATATAGTCGATGGTGTAACATGACAACATGTTCGAGTTATGAATACTTAAAAACACTACACAGATGAAAATTTCTGCTGTGTCAAAATACCTCATATCATAAGTAGAGAAAATGTCCTATTCATACCAGGCTGCAACTAAATTATTTTAATAACTGATTATTCTATCAATTATTTTGACAATCTGAAAATAATTGTCACATTTTTCAGATTTTATTTTAACCACTTAATCTTATTTTATATTATAGATGCAAGGAAATAAATGAATAAAATAAAAATAAAAAAAATCACCATTACCTAAAATGCAATAACAACATTCCTTCAGTGATTTGTTGATCACTTGTAGCTAAAACTACTTCTGAAGCTAAAACTTTGCCACTAGAGTAGTTTTGGGTCTGTATTATCCAGTATTGGTGTTAGTTGATAATTATTCAATAATCAATTCATCACAATTAATCATCTCAGCTCTAATTCACTTCTAAATTTTGCTCACCTGCTGCCGCTCATGACGTAACCAGACTTCTCGAAGTTTGCGATCTCGTCGCTGGTCAGACCGATTTCTCCTCTTCTGGGGATCCGTTTGCCCGCCTTCACGTACTCCGCCATGGCAGCACCTTCACCCGGCAGCAGGGCGTGACCGAAGCTGGAGGAAGACAAAACGGGAGTTTCACAAACACAAGACTCACAAACAAATAAACTGCATGATTTGGTTCCAGAAAACATCTGAAGGGAAATGAGAAAGCAAAAGAAGAGAGACTCACTCCAGCGGTTTGTCATCCTGCGACAGATGAGTGAGTGGCGCCTCCGGACCAACGATGTTCTCATCGACGCCGGTTTTCTCCACCCACATCAGACCACCAGTCTCCTCTTCCTCTTCCTCCGACTCTTCGCTGCTGGAGTCACTGGACTCTTTCCGGCTCTTCTTCGCCTTCTTCTTCTTGGACTTCTTCGACCTGCAACAAAAATCGAGATGTTTCATCGATCAAAACAAAAACGTACCAGAGCATTATTAGTGTAGCAAATGAGAACCTACTTCTTGCTTTTCTTCTTCTTTTTCTTCTTTTTCACTTCTTCTGTGGAAAACAAAGACATTTCAGCTTATAAAAGTAATAAGACGTTCAGAATTGTTGGGTAAAGAAATTAAAATGTTTCACCTTCTGAATCTGATTCCAACTCGCTGTCCTCAGAGTGTTTCTTGGTCTTTCTCTTCTTCGACTTCTTCTTTCTCTTCTTCTTCTTCTTTTCCTCTGTTAAGTAGAGACAAAATAGCTTAGAGCTAAATACAGGTGCTCAAGATTTGCAAGTAAATTGTATTCCAACATACAATCTGCATGTACTGCATGGTTTACCATTTTATTGCTTTTACAAATCAGTCACAAAACCTGGCTTTTTGACAGAAACATTTCTGTAATTTTTTTAAAATTAAATCTGTCAAATGACTGATTTCTACAAAAATAATAAAAACATTTAGCAGGAAATAAGTGATTGTATAAATATTCATCCCTATTAAAAGTGTCTGACCTAATTCTTTTGAAAAAAGAAAAGAAAGAATTAGGTCAGACTAAAAAAGGCAGATTTTGTTGCTCATTATTGATTTGTGAAAGCAACAAAAAGTGTAAAACATCCAAAGGGGCAAATACATTTTATAGGAATTGCGTCAGAAATAATTTCCAGTCAAACAGTTCCTACCCTCTGAACTGGATTCTGAGCTGCTGTTTTTCTCATCTTCTTCAACTGGTGTGAATTCATCAGAGCTAATGGAGAGAAAAGCCATAATTAACACAAACATTCCTCCAAAGCAGAAACGTAGAGAACATCGATGATGGGTTTTCTTCACTCACTCTGGTTCTTTCACTCTTGGAGAATATCCCCAGACTTCAGGACAACCGAGCTCACCGATCCGCTCCCGCTCCTGTAGACGCCTGGAACGTATCACCACATTTATATCAAAAAATATAAATATACATAAATTATGTTTTCTGAAGGCCTTGGAGTTTTGTTAGAGAGAACAAAAATAATCATGAAAACACAGCAGTCAGATTAGAGAGTTCTCATTAGGTTAAAAAAGGGTTTGGTTATAAATCAAATTCCCAAGTTCAAACATCATGCAGTTATACTGCTGAAGATACACTGCAAAACCACAAAATCTTACCAAGTTTTTTTAATTCATAGCACAAACACTTGAAAAAAGACAAAAACAACTTTGTACAAGCTTGGTATACAAGCTTGCTTAGGTCAATAAATCCTTCATATTTCTGAGAAAGTACTAGCTCTTCTTGCAGATTATTTTACTTATAGCAGCAGAAAAATGTCTTTTTATAATCTACCTGTGAAATCAGCACTTTTTAAAATCAATATTAAGGAATTATTGACTTAAAACAAGCGCCTATATCTTCATAAAAAAAAGTTACTTGTAAGTTTGTTCTGTCTTATTCAAGTGAACTAACACATTTGCACTAGAAACCAGACCAGGTAGGATTTTTGTGTTTTTGCAGTGTATGACCCCCAAAATAGAAAGATTACTTAAAGGGCTTAAAGGGACAACTTTAAGCCTTTCAATATTGTGAAGAAGTTCATTTGAGGAACTGAAACGCATATTACATAGATTCACTACAGACTGAGTGAAATATTTCATGCCTTTGTTATAATTGTCATGATTATGCAGACATATACAGAAAACTCAGCAGGACCATGGTAAAACATGGTGGTGGCAGAGTCATGCTATGGCGGTTCAGTTCTTTAGCAGAGATAATGCAGCAGGTCAGATTTGGCGTCAAATGTAAAGAAGATGAACTATCAGAGGCCCAGCTCACGTTGATGCGTGGCGGATGCAGGAATCAAACTTGCATCTTTCCAGTTACCAACCAACCATAGATCACCAAGGAAACAGCTTTTCGTGAACATGAACTGGATTTTTCCTACCTGGCAATGAAAGCCTCCTGCCTCTGCCTCTGGATGTCGTCCCTCTGCTGCTGGTAGTAATAGTCATCTTTGAAGCCGCCGTGTTTTCCATCGCGCTGCTCGGACCAGTGGCCGTGGTTGTTGCTGGTGCTGTTGTTGTGGCGATCCCGGGACCGGGACCTGGATCTGGATCTGGATCTGGAGCGGCTCCGACCGGGACTCCCGATGCGGAATCTTCGGATGTTTCTCGCCTCTTTGAAACGACGCTCCCGCTCCTCTCGCTCCCTCTCCTTGTTGCGGGGCTTCGGGAGTTTGGGCCCAAAACTGTCCGGAGACAGGCTACGCTCTCGGCTACGGTTTCGGCTGCGGGATCGTGTACGGGGTCTCCGGGCCCGAGGATTCGGAGAGTCCCTGCCGCCGTCGGAGCTGGATCGGTCAGACAGAGGCATCCTGTCTGACCTCCGAGGACTTAATGCTTAATAAAGTTACAAAATTAAAGGAAAACAGAGCATAAGACAGGAGATATGGCTTTCTATTTTAGTGCGCAATCAATAACAGGAAGAGATCAGTGGTCCAACGCTTAAAAGGTTCCCTCTGCCTCCCGAATCCACCGAACAATAGTTCCTACTATATTGTAAATCGCCAGTTATTTTCCCCAAAAGTGGCATAAATGAATGAATGAATGCATGAATGAAATTACCACCTCTTCCTTACCAAAACATTTTTCAGTGAGAAAAAAACAAACACTTTTGGCATAGGGAAATTAGGCCCTTATTTTAGGGAGATGAGGCTAAGACCTTTTTCATTATGAATATTTAAAATAAATATCTTAAGTATTTTCTCGCTTTTGCTGATGTGCACAGCCCATGTTTATTCTGAACAAAGAAATATAAAAACTTTCAATCTTTCCTTTAGTTAATTTTATCAAAGCTATTTAGTTTATACTCTTGCAAATGTCCTGGTATTTAAAAGCATTTTAGAGCAGTCTGCTGATCTTGACCGCTTTCTGATTTTTTAAATATTGTTAATGAATGCATTCCCCCCCCCCCTTTATTGTCACAATAGCACCATCATCTGATTAAATCCATTCAAAAGTAAATATAATCAAATTCGTCCTTTGGCATTATTAAAAACACTATGGACTCAATTTTAATATTGTCCATATTCCTAACTTTTAGAAAACGTCTAATGTTTTTGACTTGTTTATTTATTGTATTTTCTTTATAAAACTAAAAAAAATCAAAACAGTGGTGTCCAATGAATACCAAAATTTCGAGTAAAAATTAGTCGAGGGACACAATAATTTCAATTGTTTTAATCAAAATCAGAAAATAAGTGTGTGGTTTCAAAACATGTATTCCCATCTGCTTAACTATGAACTATTATATTTTCATAAAATTAACATTTTTTTTTTTACTGGAAAAGTAATCTCAAATTTAGGTACTTTTATTTTGAAGGTTTCCGGTGGTTCCTGTGGTGCAGCTGTCTGCAGGAAATTTCCGGTCTGTTGTCAGTCGGCAGCGAAGGTAATTATTTACACTCCAGCTTTTTTGACAACTTGCAGGTTTAGATTTGGGTCGGGCATCGGGGGTGCAGGTAAATATTTAATTACCATTTTTTGTGTATAAAAATAGAGCCACTACGTGATTTCTTCATCCGTTTTGTGCAATTAAAAACCCGCATGCTAACAGGATGCTAAGCAGCAGGCCGCGCTTCCTCTTCATTAGAGAGAAGTCATCGTTACCTTTGTTAGCATGCTAACAGCAGCGACTGAATATTTAGTTACGGATATGTTACAGACCGATAATACAATACTTATAAAACCGACATAGCCTGTTTTAATAAAGGTAGTTTCTATGATATTATACGAATTAAAATTTAGCAATTGCCGTATTATTACTAAAACTCTACTATCACTAAGCAACCATTGTTTTAGTTCTCTAAAAGCTCTTAAACAGAATTATATGTTCGCCTTAACTTCATAACAGCCTGTGAAATGATTTCCTTGTGTCCTTCATTTTTAAATAATTATTTGTAGTGACCTTACAGGTGTAGGTTATTTAAATGTCTTCTCGCCTCTTGAACTTCACTCTGTTTCATTGTCAGTTGGATTTTGCGTAATCGCGAGGAGGAAGGCAAACAATGTTTGCTTGTCTTATATTTCTCTATTACAAAGAAAGATATGAAAAGAATAATGTGCATTTGTACTCAATCCCCTTTTACCTGATACTCCTACATAAAATCCAGCGCAGCCAAATTGCCTTCAGATGTCAGTAGATTAGTAGTTATTCCACCTGTTTTTAATTTATTCTGTAGGAATACAGCTGTTCAGTAAAGGTCTCATTAGTGAACAAACGGCACAATAAAACTTAAAGCAGTTCTGTTACAGAATCATATCTAAAGCTAGAACATCTGTTCAGTCCATTGTTAGAAGATTGAACTAGCATTTATGGAAGAGTGGTAGGAAGAGAGCTATTGTTGAATGAAAGCAACAGGAGCTCCTGTTTGCAGTTTGCTGCAAACCAAGTTGTGCGATTGGATCAAAGTTGAACTTTTTGTCCTACTTGTAATATGCGGACATTGCATAACTTTCTAAACAGAACATTTAGTGTAATGTGGCAAGGTGGTGGCAGATAGACCTGTTTCAATAACAATGACACATTCTTCCAGAAGTTATTGTAATAAACAATAACGTTGTTTTGAGACCCTTTTCAATTGTTATATTGATGGTGGGATAATAATGCAAGTTTGCCCTCTCAATGATTGATAAACATATATTTTTAAAGAACAGTCCACACTTTAACTATCAAAATTAAAACTTGACAACCAAAAACAAAAGAAAACAGAAATAAACATAACTGAAACCATTAAACTGGTTTTTGATGTTTATTCAAACAAATTTGCCATTCAAAAATTATTAATCAGACTGGAAATTATTAAGTTCATTTTAGTTATCATTTGCTTAATTGATTAATTGTATCAGGTTTACCATTAAGCAGTACTTTGTTGTTTTGTTCCATCTCATTAAATCCTAATAAAATTTTACATTTAAGTTTATGGTTAAACGTGAGAAGAATTTACATTTTTCTCTATATTGAACTCTGGATATAATTTCATATCTGTTGCACGGGGAGTTATTCTTGTTCTGTGATGATAAATAACTAAGGCGCCCGGAAAATAAACAGATTAGAAGTTGCAGTAACTAGCTGCATTTTCATTAGAAGTGTGCGCAAAACTTTGCCAATATTCTGCTAATGTTCATTAAAAACACAATTTCTACTAAATAAGAAATTAAAATAATACACGTGGATACATCTTTAAAAGTCATGCCAGCAACAGATGTAAACAGTTACATGAGAGAAGTCGGCGTCTTATTCAGGCGTTGGAGCAACAAGCCGCTGATATTTGGAAGCAGCTACGTATGCCATGTTTTGGGTAAATTGTAGCCAACAATTTTATAGAAAAGTTATATATTCAACATTTTAGAATGACGACTTTCTATGAACTGTGTGATGCTGTGAAAACTGGATCCAGCTGCTCATTGTCCAAAAAACAAAAACAAACCATCTTCCTCCTACTACTTCCTGTCGTCTTCTCTGTCATTTTCGCCAGTAGTAACACCTAGCTATTGATGTGACAGTTGTGCAAAAAAAGTGTTTCTGTTGCAGTTTTGGACATTTTTTCCATTTCAGTACGGCTGAAAAACCATCTCAATTTTTACAAAACTTTGTGAGTTTCCATTAAGCAATTAAATTTTTCGTAATTTCAATTTGCGCATCTCTATAGTTAATGGAAACACAGCTGGTGACCACACAGACTCACTGGACTCTGATTTTATTCCGTTTTTGTTTCTTCCTCCTCTCTTTCTGCAGCCATGCCGAGCCTAAAGCTGATATCTGCCACTGACACGCAGTATTCAGCAGCTGTCCTCAAGTCTCTGAACGAGCAGCGGAGCAATGGCTTGTTTTGTGACATCACCATCATCATACAGGACAAGAAATTCAGAGCGCACAAAACAATCCTGTCAGCCTCCAGCACATACTTTCACCAGCTTTTTGCAGTCGCCGGTCAAGTCATCGAGCTCAACTTCATCCGGCCAGAAATCTTTGAGCACATCCTCAACTACATCTACAGCTCCAGGATCATCCGCGTCCGCTCCGACATGCTGGAGGAACTCATCCGCGCCGGAAAGATCCTGGGAGTGAAGTTTATTGCGAACTTGCATTCGCCGCTGTCACAAGTGAAAGGTCTGTCAGGTTTGTCCCAGGAGACGGGAAGCAAGAGCGACGCCTCTACGGAGACAATGCCGGTCATCACAGAGTCCTTCTCCATTTCCGCAGAGGAATTCAATCAGACGAAGAAACCCGGGGGAAACGAGGAGGAGGGCGATGATGTAGTGTTTGTCTCCTGCACCGATGCTCAAACCAGAGCGGCGAGTCTCAAGGCCAACCCTTCTGACATCATCGATTTGGAAAAAGTGGAATCGGAAAATGTTGAATCCAAACAAAGCGAAGATTCGAATCATGTTGCGGCGGATGCAGGGAAAGCAGCCGCCACGCCGAAAACTAACGGCGCAAAGTGTCAGGTGAACAGTTCGGACTGCAGCTCCAGTAACTCCCCGGCGACGCACGCCCAACCAAGCAGCCTCACACCGGGGCCGACCAGTGAAAGCACCGACATGTTGGGAGTCCACAAGAAGCAAGTCGCCGCTTCATCCCAGGACGGCGATCCCAAAATACGGCTTCTGGATGTTTCCGGAGTCTCTGCGAGCAGCGCCAAGGGAACTATAGAGGCGAAACAGACGGTGACCCTCAACACCGGCACGGAAATCGATTCGCTTTCATCCGGATGTAAAGTTTACGCCAACATCGGAGAGGACACATACGACATCGTCCAAATGAAAGAAGACCCAGGAGAAGGAGGATCAAAACCCAACAAAGGGAAAAGAGCTTTAATGGCGACGCCCAAAAAGGCCTTCGACCAGACGCCGCTGTCACCAACACTCAGTCCGAACAGGAAGAAGAACAAAATGGAGCTGGACGATCACTACGAGCTGATCATGGATGGGAAGACTTTCTACGTTTGTGCCGTGTGCAAGCGCCCGTATGTGTGCATCACGAGTCTGCGGCGTCACTTCAACACCCACTCGTGGGAGAAGAAGTACCCGTGTCGCTTCTGCAACAAGGTGTTCGCCCTGGCGGAGTACAGAACTAAACACGAAGTGTGCCACACGGGCGAGAGGCGGTACCAGTGCCTGCTGTGCAACGACATGTTCCAGAACTACCAGGTTCTGTCCCACCACTGCAAGCAAGTCCACAATCAGGACCCGAGCGGCAGGAAGCAGAAAGACGACGGCGACAACAACCTGTACCGCCTGCTGCCGTGTAGGTCGAAGAAGAAGTCGTACGTGACCGACCTGCCGGGAACGCCACTCATATCGGAGGACGGCAGCATGCAGGAGATGAGCCCCGCCGAAATGGAGGCCATGCACTCTTCGGCGCAGAGCGGGATGTACTGGGACGACCTGTTCACCGAGCCGGGTGCTCACATGCAGCCAGACTCCGAGTCGCCGTCGATGAGCTCCCCGACGCAGGGACCCATGGAGTTCGAGTACATCACACCGTAGAGCCGCTGGGAAGCAATCAGTCCGCCGGATATCCTGTGCCTTCTCGGTTACGCTAACTATGTGTTCGTCCTCCAATTCAGATCATGTTTTGTGATTAAATCTAAACCTACCCCAAATTAAAGCTACAGTATGCAAGTTTTATTTTAAAAAAAAATCTGTTAATTTACATGTTTGTTAAAGCTGTTATGATGGTATGAGACAGACGATCTGTGGGAAAATCAATCTCTGTGCTGCTATTGCCTCTGAAAACGTTAATCAAAAACAACCAATCAGAACCAGGAGGTGGGTACAGAAGAGGATTAGAGCCGCTGAGAAAAAAATTCTGCCCTTTTCCTCATAATTCTGACTTTGATCTTTGAATTCTGACTTTGATCTTTGATCTTGGAATTCTGACTTTGATCTTTGAATTCTGACTTTGATCTTGGAATTCTGACTTTGATCTTTAATCTTGGAATTCTGACTTTGATCTTTAATCTTGGAATTCTGAATTTGATCTTTGATCTTGGAATTCTGACTTTGATTTTCTGTGTTGCCCTGCGACAGACTGGCGACCTGTCCAGGTGACCCCGCCTCTCGCCTGGAACGTTCGCTGGAGAGGCACCAGCAGCCCTCCCGACCCCACTGAGGGACAAGGGTGCACAGAAAATGGATGGATGGATCTTCTGAGGTCAAAGTCAAAATTCTAACTTTAATATTAGAATTCAAATTCAAAAATTGTATTTTTTTCAGTGGCCTTAATCCTCTTAGCGCTGTCAGTCAAATAGTCTATGTGCTGCTAAATGTGCTACTGGCAGAGAAACAACTCATCATTACAGAAAAACTGTTTTTCCACCATTATTGGTGGCCATGCTAACTAGTCTTAGCATTCATGATGGGCTCTACTGTTGGCAAGAAGCTTTAGCGTAGCAGAGAGGGTGATTGACAGCGCTAAGCCCCTCCTCCTGGCTCTGATTGGTTGTTTCTGACTGAACAGTGTGTTTCTGTAGTTTCTTGGAGAAGACACAGATTATCTGTCATGACGGAGTGACAGTTTAAACAAATATTTAAAAACATTTTTTTAAATCTGAGTTTCATACTGTAGCTTTAATGCTTTTAGGAAAGTCTAACTGTTAATTTATTTTCTCTTGTTTCTAAAGGTTCAAAGAAGTCAAGGTAAAACCGCTTGAACTTTCAGCTTTTGTTGTAAATGTGAAACTTTGCCCAATTGTTTCTCAGTATTGTTGGAAAATTATGGTAAAAGATGATGCATCTTTTAGAAAATTATTCAACATTTTTCACACCCTACTGTAACGTCAGAGCGCGCACACACACACACACACACACACACACACACACATACATTCTCATGTGTTTCCTTCCAGGTAAATTAATCTGGTGTTAAACTTTGTAACATAGAAACTCTGAATCTGCTAATCATTGATTTCATGTTGACTTGATCATCCAACAGAATAATGTGCCGTTCAATTTACTGACTCTACTAAAAGTTAAAGATGAGACTTTTAAAAATCTTTATTAATCACATAGCATGTTTCATGTTGAAATGTGAGATGAATGTATTTGTAACATTTAGGCCATGATGTCTAAAACGGTTCAACGCTGCTGACCGACGACAGTTCCAATAACCATTTCATTTATCGATCCAGGCGTCTTTTTTTGTGTCTTCTACCCTAAATATACATATTTTACCGCGTTTTTTTTGTTCTTAAAGAAAATGTGTTAAATACAAATTATAAAATGCAATAAGATTGTTCAAATATTAAATCAACTCAAAGCTTCACCTGTTAAAAGAAGGACCTTCTGATGATGATTTTAGGATTTTTTTGTTTTGTAAAATATATTTTTTCATGATGTCATTGTTGCCACATCTGGGTCTTGTGGCAGGAAAATTTGTACAGTTTCATTGGGTTACTTATTGCGTAGTGTAAGATGGATTTGTTTTCTATTATTTTAAATGTAAAGGTAGGGATTTTAACTGAGATTTATTAGTATTTCGCACTTAAATTTCCAGGTGTTTTGTTTTTTTTACATCATGTCAGAAATTAGAACTGTCTTCTTGCAGGTAAAGGTAGAGCTCAAGCTTGAAACCAATCTGTATTGTTTTCAGATTAAATGCTACAGATTGTTTTTCAATAAATGGATTAACTATTGTGTATGACGTGATGTTTCATTGTGTAATATGCTTTTTAAAAACTGTAAAGTTTAAATTTGCAGCAGCATGGCATTAAATAGAAACCAAAAGGCCTTTAGGTTATAAAACAATTGTTTTGTGCTGAAGAATTGTGGAAACGAAGCTATTCATGGGTTTTCTGATGAAGATTTTTGTGTTTTTTAAATAATAAAGACAAAGAGTTGCATAAAATACTGAAAAAAATCAAAATTAATCATATATTTTGCAAAGTCAGAAGCATTATCTGCTTCACTTTACATACAATCAGGCTTCGTTTGGGAAATCCTTGAATTTATTTTAGGTGCTTTCAAGGTTTGGAAAGTCCTTGATATTTTATGATAAAGTCCAATCTACCGTTTGATTACAAGTTTAAACTTGGAAAGCGTTTTTTACAGTTGAAACCAGATATTTAAAAACAATGAAAGGACATTTTAATCCTCACCGTCTGAAGTTAAGAGACAAACTTCCCCTTTTTTAGGTCAGTGAAAATAATCTAAAGTATTTCTATTTGCTAAGCGCCAGAAAACATAGTGAGGAAATATTTTTTTTAAATTTCTGCTGTAGGATATTAAAAGATATTAATAGTAATAAATAATTTATAACAGTGAATTGAAACTGTATCCTTTGGTTTGTGTCGTTTTTATCTCCAAAGCTGAAATATTCCTTTAATTTAATTTATTAAAGTGTAAAAACCCAGTTTAATCCACCACAGATTGATAAATAGTTTCTATTACATCCAGTTAAACCCACAAAACAAGCAGATTAACCAAAGATCAAAACCAACATTTTTTATTTGGAATATCAGCAGAGAACTCTCTGGACAGTCACACCGTCAGCTTTGGTGAAGCAAAAAGAAAAACCACGTGAATCACAAATGATTTATTGGTGGGACGAAACGTCCATCTGCTCCAGACTGAAGTGTGAACGAGAAGCTGATGTGCGTTTACATTTCAGTTCCTGTTTAAACCAGATCAGTGAATCCAGCACTGATTGGAGAAGATGATGCGACACTGAAATGGGAATGATGCTGCACCAAACTCCAGCTGGAAAACCAGCAGGACTCGGTGATTCGTGAGAACATAAAGCAAAAGCATCTCAATAGATCAGAATGTGTTGGAAATGTGAAATACAAACCAGGTATTTAAAGCTTATTGTGTTTATTTAGATGAGAATGCAGTGGAGTCCAGTGTTTTCACCATGAGGGAGAAAGTTGTCAAGTTTTTTTAAAATACAATTTTTTCTAAATAAACTTTTGATGTCCTTTTTATTATTATTTTAGCTGCTCAATAATAAGCTAAGCTATTTAAATTTTATTAAAATGAGGAAAATGGACAGATTTTTGTGGGAAACGGAAAATCATCGTAAAAGGTTCCACAGCTTCTAAATTGTTTGGATTGATTGTTTTCTTATATCAGAAGTAAAATTTGTTTTTGGGAAAATGTTGGTGAATGTTTTCGGTTCTAATTACTCCAAAATTAAGATTAAATAAAAAAAACAATTATTACATGCAAATCTATTTTGTGTGCCTGATATTTTTTAAGATATTGTTATGTAGCTGTAAAAATGTTGAACAAGTGTCCATCTGCATCAGCCATTTAAGCAGATTTGCTCCATTTGGGCCGTAAAAAGTCTTTCAGAGGGCTGCAAATGGCCCCCGGGCCGCACTTTGGACACCCCTGTAATAATGGCTTACATCTAATGAAAAACCCCAAATAAGAATGTAATTTAAAATAATTAAAAACCAGAAATGTAAGCCTATTTACATATATTCTCATGTACTGTATAGTTTCTCTATGTGGTTCTGATCAGTTCCGTTTGATCCAATCAAGTATCACAGTGTTACTATGGTCATTAATGAAGGTATCAGTAATTTTGGCAGTGTGGGTAAATACTACGTCCTACTGGAAGATGAAATCAGCATCTCCAGTTATTCCTGTTGCTTTTTCAAGAACACCGCTTTTTCTTCCACTAAACTTTCCATTAATATGTTTGGGAAGTTTATCAATAATCTTGTTTTGCTTAAAGGTGACCTGTTGTGCTTCCTTGAACAGGTTAGGATCGGTCTGTGTTTTTTTGCACAAACTTATTCTTAAAATAATGAAATTTTAACCTGCTCAGTTTCGGCTATTTCAGGATGAGTGTTTTAGGAAGTCTTGTCACATTAAATCTAAATAATAAGTCTAAATAATTTGCTTCTGGCCACGCCCCCAGCTCAGCATTTACATGTGAAAATGGCTGCAAATAAATGCGCAATTGTACAACTGTACGTCTTTGAAAAGCAGAAGTGGAGCCTCCTACACAACCAACGAGAACCAACGAGAAGTGGTTTCTGGAAGATAAGTCAATAACAAAACCCTTGTCTTTTCCAGCAGCCATTGTACAGCGGTAAAACCAGCTGACCAGATGTGCTGGAGCTCAGATTGGGTTGCTAGGTAACCAAAGAACAATTACGTGGTTATTTAAAAATACCCACGTAATTGTTCTAATGTTAGCACATTAATTAATGTTGTTTTTAGAAGCAGTTGAGGCCCAAATAGAAGCATAAAAATGTGCAAAATGTGAATTTTGCATCAGTGACATAAGTCAGCATTAAACAATGTTTTTGTTTCAATTTTTAATTTATGTTATTGTTATTTTAGAGATAAAGTTTTTTGTTTTCACCAGATGTAAGCCATTATCATCGGTCTTGAAGGTGATGAATATATAAAATAAATGAACTTATGGAGATTTTTGAATTTATTGAGATGCATTTTGCATTTAAACATAATATGTGTCCAGCTTATTTTAAATTTGCACCAAACTGGTCTAGGAACAACATGGATGGATGGATGGATGGATGGATGGATGGATGGATGGATGGATGGATGGCTGGATGGATG